ATAGTTGTGGGTGCAAATTTACCACTTTGCAATGTGCAATACACATTCACACAACATACATAGAAGTATATAGAAAGGATGCATTTTCTACCATGAACTAAAGCTGACTCAGCTTTTCATTCATGACAGCAGATTCAACTGCACTGAGAGTATAAATCCAATATTCCTCTAGGAGGGTGACTTTTTTTTTTTTATTCCTCAGCCCTTTAATAAAGTTGCACAGCCATAGTGCACCTGTGCATAACTTTGTGCCGTAGCTTATTTCATATTTTGAGTCTGCAGCAGAGTCAAATTTTGCCCTAAACTGAGGCCTTTTTGTTTATCCAATATACACCAAACCACAAGAGCATCTCTGCATAAAGAGCGCTTGTGTTCTGCTGCAGTTTATGAAAGATTTGACAGCTTTGAATTGGACAAGTGGCCACTGGGGCAAACTGGCAGTGAGAGTGTGTGGCAGCACCAACTCCGGCTCTCTTTATGTTTCTGAATTACAGTCTAAGATCCTTTTTACACACACTTTGTAGCTCTATAATAATGTCACTCGACTTTCTCCTTTGCTGCCATCACAACAGCTACAAGAGAGCTTTATCATTTGAACATAAAAAAGGTCATTTGACCTCCTTTTCCTTACTTAAACCTAACCACTCTTACTGTGGTACACCAGAACAAATACTCAAATGAATCATTTCAGAAGGCAAATAGCCTTTTCGTTGTTAAAATGCAGGGGCCTGCTTCGTTTATCATTGTCAACATTTTTATTTATTTTTGCTCTTTTTTCATCAGTAAGTCTAAATTTTGAAAAGTTTTTATTAAAGTAGCACATGAAGTGTTTTATTTGATTCTATAGAAAGCACAAATCCATAATTCATCTGCATTGCTTTTTATGAAATTTTTCCCCCTGGGGGAAGCTTAAAGTGAGAATAGTAAGGAATTTAGAAATAGATAAAGGTCCTCAGTGCTTGGAAACACTCTATTAAGATTCAGCGTAAGTCTTTTCAATTTGAGACCAGTCAGTGATGCTATAAATGAAAGTTTAATCGAGTTATGCTGGAATATAATACAGTGATTGTTTTGTTTAACAACATGGGCTCAGAATCAACATTTTCAGATGAAAAAATGTTAAATAAAGTATGAGGGGAAATGTTGAATTAAAGGTAGGATTGATAAGACAAATAAACCTATTTGATACTGAAAGAGGTAAAAGGGATGAAATTAAGGACTATGTGGAGCTTTATTTTAGTTTTAGTGTATAATATACTGAATATTTACAGCCTAAAGATCTAATGATCCAACTTTGTTCTCTAGACTTCTTATGTGAAATTCGTTTCTTAGTCCCCGGGGGGGGGACCAGCTCGAGGTTGCTGGCTGTTGCTAGTTGAAATTAGTCTTGAAGAGGATGCAGCACCAAAAGTCCCCTCGAGAAGATTGCTGCCATTACCCATAGTTTGCATGGAAAATGCTGACTTGTCTGCACACACTCAGATAATACTTACAAATTGAAAACCAAAACCATAAAATTGAGAATTTCTACCCAAAGGAAAAGTTGTGTTTTACTGCTAAAACCAACTATATCTGCTTTTTGTCTATGCTTTAGACTGTAAATGAAAAAAAAATGGATGTAGTTTCCAGGTATAAAAGGTTAAACCGCTGTGGTAGGGACTTGTTGCATTTGTTATAATGACCAACAGGGGAAGATATCGAAGATATAGAATGGTTGGAAAACCAGTACTGTAGATCGGAAGTCCTTTGCTCTATGACCTCAGAAGAAGCCATTTGCTGTTAGGTATGGGCTCAACTAGTTTTAAGAATAAAATGTTGAGTTAATTTTGTAAACTATATAACTCATCAGGAAGATAAAAGTCCAGTGCAGTGTCCTTGGTTTTACAGTGAGAAACACCACATATTCATGATGTGTGAAAAACACAGCTTAAGGCTTCACTACACGTCTTCAGTAACCAACTCTGACCATGTTTGATGTACTGTATGGTGGATGGTCTTTGCAAGAGGCTTGACGCTACAAACTTAAGACTACCTTAGCTTCCATTAGCCAAAGAAACCCTCCAAGTCAAATCTCCAACTAAACTGTTGGCAACTGCATATTGGGTTTTGACACCTTAGATCATTTTAAACTACCCTTTTATATTTTACAAAACTGACTGCCAGCTTTATAAACAGAAGTATTACAATTTTAAATACTGCTATAAAATCAAAGTGTGAGGAAAGAAATGGCTTCAAGCTATGCTGTTGGTGACTGACTGAATGAGGTTTTCCCTTTGGGGCTTAACTTAGCAGAGCCACTTCAGTACAAACCCATACAATCTTGTGTGCTTTACTGAACCTAAACAATGATTAATGTTTTATCGATTATTAGTCGATAATGTCAAAGACACTAGAGGTTCCGCCTGTGGGTGGAACCTCTAGTGTCTTATATACAGTCTATGGCTAGTAGCTATAACACATGTTACTCTGTTAGATTTAAGACTGATCTATAGCCAGCATCTGTCATATTTAATAGGAGGCTAATTCCGGCTAATGGAAAACAGATTCAGAAGTACTAGAAATTACCTCCATAATTCAGTTCACATATAAAACAACTCACTTTGTAACTGACTAGTTAATAGTGGAGATTCTAGGCTCTGACTGCATAGTTAGCTAACTAATATAATAATAATAATAATAATAATAATAATAATAATAATAATAATAATAATAATAATAATAATAATAATAATAATAATGCATTTTATTTGAGGGTGCCTTTCAGAAACCCAAGGTCACCTTAGAAATAACAAAATTAATAAAAGGAACAGTAGTCATAAAATACAAAAAATAAGTTAAAATTACAAAACAGAGCTTGACAACAGATAAAATCAGCACTAAAGTGAATAAACCAGTTTAAACAGATGTGTTTTGAGCTGTGACTTAAATACGGAAAGGGAGTCAATATTTCTTATGGTTGGAGGAAGAGAGTTCCAGAGCCGGGGAGCAGAGTGACTGAAAGCTCTGTTCCCCATAGTAATAAGGCATGAGGACAGAACGGTAAGACGAATAGCAGATGATGATCTGAGAGGGAGGGAAACAGTGGTGATATGGAGCAGGTCACACAAATATGAAGGAGCAGATTTATGGATACACTTGTATGTAAGAAGTAAGATTTTAAAATTTATCCTGGTTTATACCATATATATATATATATAAACATACACACATATATACAGGGTGGGCCATTTATATGGATACACCGTAATAAAATGGGAATGGTTGGTGATATTAAAGTCCTGTTTGTGGCACATTAGTGCATGGTGTGAAGATACGAGATGTGCAGCACCTGAAACTACGGATACTGGATGGCTGTGCTGGCATTTCTCCTGCGGTGTTGCTATCAGTGTGTGAAGAGTGGGAGAAGAGGGTTGCATTGACAATCCAACACAATGGGCAGCACATTGAACACATTTTATAAGTGGTCAGAAACTTGTAAATAACTCATGAAAGAATAAAGTTACATTGAAAGCAAGCACACCATTGTTTTTCTTGTGACATTACCAATAAGTTTGATGTGTCACATGGCCCTCTTCCTATTGAAAAAACAAAAGTTGTATCCAAGATGGGAGTTGCTTAAATTGCCAGCCTCAAAGCTGACATGATAATTTGTTATCTGCTGATTTTATGGTTATTTCACTTTTGGCATTGCTACATGTCATCAGATGTAACTGACATACCAATGTCTCTGGCAGACACATCACTCCTTGTCTCTTGTGAATGCCCACTCAACACGATGTACCTTTCATTTTTTAAAATAAATTTAAGCCTTAATTAACCCCTCTTAAGTTGTCATTAATGGAAAAATTAGCTTTCTGCTATAAATATCTGTATTAATGGGAATTAACTGTTTAACAAATTATTTAACTAACTGTTTAGGGCGAAAAATGGCAATCAATCTGGGAAAATACAAACCAAATATACTGTTACATGGACAAACGATATATCTGCTCATTACTGTATAAAAGACTTTGGTAAATGTACTTTTTCTTGGCTAACTGTATTCATAATGTCAAATAGCGAGGTGGTTGTTCAAGCGCTTTGGTTGAATGATGTAGAGAGTTAAGTCATGTTTGAACTAAACTCTTAATTAAACTGTGTCCAACTTTCCTTATAGTGGAATATAATCTGGGGATAAGGAATAATTTTACATCTTTTTTGGGTCATTGTCAAAAAGCTTTAATCAAACTTGTTTTATGTTTTATGTCTCATCCACCTAAGTTAAAATTGTGGCTCTATAACCGTTTAGGCAGGGGCTTGGTCCTGTGATCCGACTATAACTTGAGAAAAAAACAGCAAGTGTGTGCACACACAAATAAAGTGACAAATCAAATAATCCATATCTGTTGAGCTTCCTATATAGAGGTGTCCTAGGGGCTGCAGAGAAAGATTGTGGTTTGTGAAGCAGTTATTAGTTCTGGCTGTGTTTTCTAAACCCAGCCATCCACCCCAGCCTCCAACATAAACGTGGCGACACCTGTGACATCTACAGATTCTTTATACTTGAATTTCTGCACATCATTTGGGAACTTAATTGTGTAGGTTTTCTTTTTTTCATAATGATTAAAATTCGCCATGGGAAGATGATTTTGCTCTGACATGCATGTTAAGAAAGACACTAAATCACTACATGGTTCAGTTTTACTATCAAGTTTTAATCCATCCAGTTAATTCAAAGGCATTATGGGTTAAAGAAATAACACATTCATTTGTTTCACTTTCCTTTAAGCTCTATTTCTCCGTCTTTCCTGTCTGTGCATTTCCTGCTTACCAGTAGGTGGAGCTTGTCTCCTTTGGCTTGAGAGAGCGTGAGAAGGAGGGAGAGAAGGAGATGATTAAAGAGAGAAGAAAGACAGCAAAAGGAGAGGCAGAGAGAGAGAGAGAGGGAGGGAGAGAGAGAGGGAGGGAGGGAGGGAGGGAGAGAAATGGGGAGGGAGGGAGTAGAGAGCAAGCGTCAGCACTCCATGTGTTAAAAGGGCAGATGGTAACCGCGGGTAACTGAGGAGCAAACCACTCTGCTGGCCACAGAGCAAGAGATCAGCGGAGAGAGGGAGATAGAGGGAGGGAGGAGAGTGAACACATGCAGCGCAGCAGAGGAGAGGAGCATCTGAGAGGAAGCTGCACGCTTGCTCTGACAGAAAGAGAAAGAGAGGGAGGAGAAGACTGAGTACTTCTTCTCCACACTAACAAGGAGGCAGAGAGCAAAAAGAGGGGCAAAGACAGAGACAGAGGAGATGCTGAGATAGTAACAGGAGGGGGAAAAAGTATCCCTCCCAGCCACTTACAGAGATACAGAGACAAAGAGGGAGGGAAAACAAAAGGGGCTAGAGAGATTGTGGAGTGAGGAGAACGGACGGGAGATAGTTAAAGGAACTGCAAGACTGATCAATAAGCGGCTGAGATTTCGGGAAGAAATTTAGACTCAGCGAGAAAAAGAGAGAGAGAGAGCGAGCGAGAGAGGGAGTCAATGACAGGGAAAGATTGATTAATGAAAGATTTGAGCAAAACATCTGGAGAGAAGGAGACTTAAAGAGAAATATTTAAGAGGAGACAGGGGCATCTAGCGGAAGGCAAATTTAGAAAAGAAAGGGAGAAGAATTAAAAAAACATTTAGAGAAGGACAGGAGGATAAGAGTGGAAAGAAAGGGGAGCAGAGGGTGAAATATTTAAGAAGAGACAGAAGCTGAGGGGAAATGAGCAGGAGAACGCAGAGTTAAAGAGTCACTGGCAAAAACTTAGAGAAGAGAGAGAATAAATCAGAGCAGCAGAGGGAAGGGAAACTGCGCTCATCCTTTCTTTTTTTTATTTCCTCTGTCCCTCCTCTTCTTGATAAAACCTAGGAGGGGAGATGAAGTGAGGAGAGAGTTGAGTAGTACAACATCAGAAGAAGGAGAAGAAGGAGTTTTCAAGGGTTTTTTGGCAAAGTCCAGATAGATCAAGAGAGTTATAGATAGATATTTAACTGCATGAAAGAGAAGTATATCCAATGGCGTGCTACTACATTGTGATCAGTTCCACCCACCTGCGTGACGGACAGCTGAGGAGCATCAAGGGGGTGTTCAGAGGACCAATAGGAACCAATGGCCAAAGAAACACGGTAAGACCAAACAGTTACTTCTTTTATAGATGCAGAGTTTGCAGAAAAGAAGGGAAAAAGGTCACATAAGTGTAACTGTGTTTGACGTCCAGACTATTGGAGTCTTTCTGGTATTTGAACTCGAGGCTTTTTGGTGGCGGGAGGTTAGTTAGATTCTGTCTACATTTAATTGGCATAAATCCAGTTTAATCCAGAGTTCAGATGTGTAGCTATTAGTGTTTTAACTTTCCTGCAACAAACACGTCCAGGAAATCATTACCTCTAAATTATCATTAGTTAAACCACTCCCACTCACTTGATTGTCAGCTCCTTAATCATAGTGTTTGTAGAGTTAATTAATTGCCACTTCCATTAGGTTAATTGACTCGGTATTGGAGGCAGAAAGATCCAGATGGGGGTGGGGAGGCTGGTGCGGGTCCCCGTCTGTTGCACTAAGAGCTTCTCTGGCTCAGAGTCCGTGCTTAAACATGCCCAGGATTAGATTTTTTTTCCCTTTTAACCTTTCAAGTGTTTACTGATTGAGTTCAGTTAAAAAGTCAGGTAGGTGTTCTCTCTTTACATTTGCATTTATCCTTAGTTTGACACGCCACTTCAGCGCTTTTACAACAGCACTCTGTTTCAAACACATGCACTTGGATCATTTTCACGCAGTTTTCTGCACATCTTGTAGTGTAAATTTCACCTTTATCTTCTTATCACAAGCCTCCTTATGTTAATGAAGTGGGGAGTATCTAAAAATAAAGTCAGATAACATTTAGAGACAAATTAAAACCCCCTCGCTGCATTTTATTAAAACCTGAATGAAAATTAGTTATTCAGAACGACTGTGGTGTCATGAAACTGTGTGGGATGCTTCGACCTGACCAGATGAGTCACACGCGTCTTGACTTTTTTTTTTGGTTCTCTTAACTCAGACTAAACCTTGTACTTCATTCGTACTGACTGTTGCAGGCAAACATAATTACTGAGAGTCCTTGTAGAGATGCACCAAAGATTCCAACAGGCTTCAAAGAGACACATCACATGAGATGTCAAGAGGTTGTGTAAGGGCAGAACTACAGTAAGCTCATTAGGCATAAAACACTTGCTGCAAGGTTTAGAAGAAATAAAATTAGTCTGTCATTTTAAATCAATCAAAAGTTTCACGCTTAACCCTGGCATGGCAAAACATGGCTGATTTTATGTTCTATCAGCAAAAGCGCTGATGGGAGCTGTGCATTGGCCATTACAAATCAATTAAAAGCCAGCGTTCTGCTGATAAAGAAGTCATTTTAAATCTCTACTCCATCTCTATCATGTGATAGGACTGTTAGATCATATTTCACCTGTGTCAATACTTTTAATAACAGCCATTGATCATAAATGACGATGGCTTGTCATGGTGAAATGATAGGGTTATAAGTCTTCAGGAGAGCCCGGCTGGACAACAGAAAATCAACAATGCATTTGACTTAGCGTGCAATTAACTAGAGAGCACAACAGAGCCCACAGCAGCGGTGGAGCGCTGTGCAGCCAAAGCACTGTGGATTGTGTTATTGTGTTTTTAATAAAAAAGCAACAATGCACAGCCCAAGTTGTTAAAATTAAAGTGGATTTAAGTCCATGCACACTGCACCAGCATGTAATGAAGCATTAATATTAAAGCCCTTAATTAAATTTTTGTACCATCGCCTCCAAACACCCCCCCAACCACCCTTTTTTTGTGTGTGTTTACGCTCTATATTAACTAGAGTGATATAAAGAAGTGATTTCTTATCAAACACTTTTATCAGCAATGCTATATCTTCCAAATTTCCTAAAAACAGAGTGAGGAAAAAACAACAGGAAAAACAAAGCCTGCGTGTTTATCTTTTGGGGATTTCTGCTTGCTGAATCTGTCAGTGTTTCTTAAGAACTCGACAAGTTATTTCTTAGTGTCCTAAAAAAACTGCGACTGTGTCTTGTGATTTCACCCTGCTGTGACTGAGGTTTGGTTAGGCTAGAAAAAGATCACAGGTTTTCAAAGTAAGGGGATTTTTGATGATACGGTGACGATAATAAACACTTGACTGACTTCAAGGATAATTATGGTCATGGTTAGGAGATACTAATGTTGTTTTTTAGGTCTGAATAGTGAGTGAAAGTGGAAAATCAATGACCGCAATATAGTATTACTCTTAAGAATACTTGTTCATTGGCTTGCTGGATCTCTGTGGGTTCACTGGATAGGCTCATCCAGGAAATTGGCCAGGAAACAGAAGAACAGAACAAAGGAAGAGAGAAATGTTATCTCTGTTAAATGCTGCGTATGTGTTGTTGTTAATTAAGTATCGTCTGAACCTTGACTCACTGTTGATGTTCGGGGAAATCCAACAAAAAGATCATCCAGCAAACATGACGTTTAGTTTGTTGTTTGTGGTCTCTCCGTGCTGTCTTTATCTCCAGTTTCCCCTCATAATCCAATCATTTGCGCTATTGCAGCCGCTCCTCCCTGCGCCTGGGCTCTTCCTGTTTGAAAGTGAGTTCTTCCTCCTCACTATTTCTAAGTTGTTGCCCATAAGGGCTCGTCATAGTTTTATGGTTCCCCTTCTAATATTGTAGTGTCTTTATCTTACAATATATAGTAGAGTAAAAGACAAATAATACATTAAACGAATTAAGCAACTAACCTTTGCTTAACCTCTTACTACTCATTAAAAAATAGCTGCTGTGACTTTAGTCCCTATTAACCTGGATGACTGAGAACCTTCACAGACCCAGAACCTTCCCTATTAACCTCTTTACGTCCAGGGGGTCTCTGGTGATCCATCTAAGGTTAGGGTTAGGTTTGGGTTTTATTTCTGGCTCATGCTAAATAGACCAATTTTTAGGAACTTCAAATTAAGTCTCAAACAGATTGACATCAAAGTTTGTCTGCTGTTTTTTTCATTTGGATCCTCCATGCAGACAAAAACTCTGGGCTCTAAACCCATAGTCTGGCAGCACAGTTTATAGAAATAGGATGTTTATTTTAAAAATATTACTACACTGTACTGAGAAGCAGTTTGAAATCTGGATATATCTATCTTAAAAATAAACAGATACTGTGCAGGTTATCGAAGTGGCATAAGTCATGTGATGGAGAAATATATTCTGTTTCCTTTGAATGTTATTTTCCTAACTTTTGGTTCTATATTGGTGTACTTCTTTCAGTCCACTAACTATTAAAGAAACTAACTTTCACTTCAGTTGTCATACTATCTCTTAATCAGTAATGCAGGAGTTCTGTTTGAGCTGTGCATTTTTGGTGAAATGTGTTGAATATTTGGATAGAACAGGACAAAGGATGAAATGTACTACAGTTGAACATACACTGTAATATCTGTTCACAGTGGGGAGATGGGGGGGCATGCCTGGTCTGAAAAAATGCTTAGCTGGGTGGTATGTGCCACATGAATGTCAGGACTAAGGGTTTCCCAGGAGAAGATTGTGTTGTAATGAGATGATCAATTTTATTCACTTCAGCTGTCAGCGGTTTTAATGTTTAATCATGTTGAAATGAAGTTCATATATTTATTTATATATATATATATATATTCTTATATATATATTGTTAAGTTATCTTCTTGACAGGGCCTATTTCCAACTCTTTTCTAACTAACTTCATCACTGAAGCCACATTTCTCATTAAAGACTGTCATAAAAAGCAAAGAAAAAAAGACGATCACTTACTTCTAACACATTAATTATTGTGCTTCATTAAATAGATGACAAACTAATGAAGCTGTTATAGCACCTTCAACAAGTTAGAGCTTTCAGACTTGTTAAATGATATCCAACTAAGAAAACATAAGGTAAACTTTCCACTGCTAACAGAGTACCATAAATAAAATGTTCTTTAATTACCCACACAAGCAAACGGTGGCATTTCAGAGGCACGTATTCAACTCTGTTCGTCATGTAATCCAGGAATAGAAAGCTATATCAAGAGTTTTAATTGGCAAACAACCACACATGACTATCACCAGTCACCTTGGATCCTCATATACCCAAGCTAATTTTATCCTCAAGTTCTTTAGCACAGCCAGGTCTGATGAAATTGCATGAAATGATGAGGTTTTAAAAATTCAAATAACATGGCCTGTGCACAGAAAATGAGAGCGATATGTTTGCGCCAGCACAAAAGAATTGCATGAGAGAGACATGGGTAGAAATAGGCAGCAGAGTCTGACGCCAAAATAGTGTTGGGATCAGTAGGATGGATGACTTTCCTTCAACTCAAATGACTCAACTTGACTCCTCGTTTAGCAAACAATATTTTTAGCATTTTTTTTTGTAAAGCATGATCAAAAAGTTACCTTAAACAGTTTGAATTACTCAACATAACCTTTTCTCGGTGTTGGTCATATCAATTACATTACATTACAGTACAGTTATCCAGTTATCACCCATCTTTGGACACAATCTGATGACAGCTACACACCTGTAAAGTTTTAAGAGTGCATTTTGCATGGCTGAGTTGCTACTGTGGTGAAGACATCTGTCCACAGGCAGACAGACACATATTAGCATCTGCTAAAATGCCCAGTAGAGTAGGTGTCCTCACGTCTGGTGGGGAAAAATGGGCATGGCGTGGTAGTGCATTGGTAGTCTTTAGGTGCAACACAGACCTTTGTAAACCCACATATAGATGTTGTAGCTGTGTACTGTCACCAGAGAGAAGTGTCAGAAATATATCAAACAAGCAGCGATGTTGTCTACTTTATGTTTGTGCAGTTGTTGATCCGTCAGCTTAAAGAGAAGATGGAGGCCATAAAGAGTGTTTTGTAGAGATGTGAGTGCTTCTCAGAGGGTTTTTTGATCTTTGATGTTTTTTTGTGCTTCTTCCTCTTAATGTTAAACTCTGTGGTCGTTTTTATTTCTGTTCAAGCCAACTTTTCAACTAAGCAGCATGCTAGTGTTATTGCCACTGGGCAACTACAAAGACACCATGGCAACATGCGAGTGTGTTTCCGTAGCTTCTGTATAGGTTTAATTTACAT